TCACGATTTTATCACGTTATACGTGTGAATGCTGATAAGCTATGGTAACTTTACCATCGAAGCTGAGTTGGGGTGAAATGGTGCCCCGGTGGTGTAACTGGTAGCACAATTGCCCGGAAAGCAAGAGATCCGGGTACGAATCCCGGCTGGGCGAAAGTTTTGCCCACAACTCAGCATTCTTGTGATAATCGTAATTTAGTTTACAGTAACCGTAAGTGTGTCGCGATTTTTGTGTAGTGTTGTCCACATTGAAGGCATTTGTTTCAAAAAATTCGGGTATCATTCATTTTAGTAGTCGAAATCACTCCAAATTATTAGTTCCTTCAATATGTTTCTGCAGGCATATTCCTTGACTCGTTTGATAACGATGGGCAGAAAAATAACCCGATGATCGCACTCATGATGAACGATGGAACTCGTTCGTATGATCATCATACAGATGGGAGCCAGCAGATTCTTAGCAGTACGTTTATGCTATGATTATCTTTTTGCTACTGTCTCTGCATTACGCTTCGTCGTAATGTTATCTAATTAGGTTGTCACCGAGACTTCCGCAACAAGCCGCATCCAATTCGACTTCGTATTGAATATCTGAGGAACGTACTGAGCGTATTCGTCGACGACGGCATGCAGCCAACTCCCAGATATGAGGCGTGCATAAGGTCTTGTTTGTTATTTTGTTTTTCTTTTTTTTTATCTCGAATTCGTTTATTTCTCAGAAGACTTATCAATTTTTACTCTTACTCTTCATTACTTTTTATTCAGTCGACGGTCACCGCAGGGTAGGCCTTGCTAAGCCGCTACAGGCGTATTTTGCCGTGCAACGGATCGAGTTTCGGGAACTTTTCTCAAATTTTTTGAAGTTCTGAAGGTTTCAAAATTTTGTGAATCTGCTAACACATTCCTGAAACACTAAGCAGATTTTTTTGTATATATTCAAAGATTGGCTGCCATCATGCTCAATACGATTCCCTCCCTCAAAACATCGACAATGGCGTCTCCTTTAATTGATTTCTGATGGCGGCTTACCTTGCTATAGGTTGTAACGACGAGAGAAAGTGGTGCAGGCGATGGTCTTACATGTGGGTGTACTAATGTCACTACGTATTTCGAGATTAGAAAAAAAAACGCTTTTTCGAGTCTTGCAATAGCATCAGCAGAGGCATAAGCTCGACCGTTTTTCACAGATCTTTCAAACGCCACTCCTTTCATGTGTGAAATCACATTTTTTGTATGGACTCGGGCTGCCTCCCCAGTCCGTCAGAAAATCCACTCATTCTCTCTTTTCGAGTGAGAAGAGCAACGCTTCAAATCAAAATTCCCGCAGCCCTTTCGTCATCGCTTGAGGAATGAACGAACATACTCTATCGATGCTCAAGAGTGTAGTTCACCTCTATGAATATACCACAGTTGCATCAGCCCTCGTGTTTCAGCTGGGCTGTCTTGTTGTCGACCATACATTCCATTAACCCACATACCTGCCTGCTCAAGCCTCGGTATAGTTCCAAATCGACAGCTTAACGGAGCTTTGAATAGGCGGTCACTATGTGACATTGTGGCAAAGTGCGCACCAGGTGTCCTCCGCTGAATCATTCCAACGGTTCTCGAACTCTCACATCACCCGTCAGGGGTTTCACCCACTTGCATTTCTGCTTAAACGAAAGGGTTTGCCAGGTGGTGAACTAGAGATTAGTATGCGCAGTCGGCCACGTTATGGGGCTTGTTGTTTATCTCTTGCTTCCGCGTCTGTAAGAAGAAGCGCTTCCACCAGTCAATTCGGCGTCCAGCAGCTCTTCGGTAAACATGGGTGTATCCGCTTGCACAGAGGAAGCTTTAGCTGAGTAATCGATTCCTAAGCCGTATTTTAATCAACCATACACACTTACACAGTAATTATGTTTGAATCCGAAGGTTTCCACCGACCGCCACTACTCCGATGCTTCAATCTCTCAGGCCGTTCGAAAATCATATTTCTTAACCGTCGCTATAGCGACGGCCACTTGGTCATCGTCCGGCGGCGACTCGCTGACATCCGCAGGTACGCCATTCCATCAATTTCGTCCCCAGCTTAGTCCATTTAAGCCATGTTACCCAAGACTCCTCCGTTCAGACGACCATGACGTTCTTGATTTCTCTGTCTCATCGCTAATTACTGACAGTCGACCTTCAACTCCTACTAGTCTTCCACAGGACGAGAAGGCAAAGTATCAAGAGGAGTTTGAGAAACAGATGAAGGAATTCGAAGCAGAACGAGCCAAGTGAGTTGATGTGAAACCTTCTCTACTTGGAATTCTGCAGCATTGTAATGGGGAATTCCAGGTTTAAAGAGCAACATCCTGATAAAGCTAAAGATGACGATGATTACGACGATTCGAAATTTTATGAGGAGGATGCAACGGTTTCGAGATGCTAACGGACAACGTTTTCGAGAGTCAGGCCAATATACTCCAAGTAAGTGAATGCGCAATTATGGTGCCAATTTTCAGTAGCGTTGCGAACATTCATTTATCATTGGAACAGTACTTAGTTTAGCAGCTGTTTTCCAACATATTTTTGTTTTGGTTACTTGTTTTTTATTTTCAACGGTCCTTTTTTTCAACCTTCTGTAAAGTAACCTCAAGCATTTCAGGTTCTGCAAAGAGTTGATGAGAGAGTACAACAGCTCCAGTCAGGCGGGGCTGTTCAGACGGTGCAACCCGGACAAACTGGTGATTGATTTTCTTCTTTGTTGGGCACCTTATTGGTAACGCCACTGCTGAACGGCTTCCATTTGTTGCAAGCTGTCTCTGCCTACAGTTCTTTAGTGTCTCATTCCTTTGGATCTGGGATTTTGTTGCAAAAAGTATTTCATTCGATGGAATCCAGTTCCCTTCCTCGTGATTAGGGTTTCCAGAGCAAAAGTTTTGAATTTAATGAGTCACTGATATCTCACCTTGAATCATTAAGTATGCCATGCTAAATATTTTCCAAGGTTCATTTTCATGTCTACTAATAATCAATGTGATCAATAAGTGTATGTTCAGCTCCCCCTTCAGCAGGTGGTGGTTTGCTTCAGCACGAAAAGAACGAAATGCTCCAGACACTTAGGGACCTTACACAGTCTTTGCGAGACCAAAAGCAGTACATTAATGAGATTTTCACCAAAACGTACAACTTGGAACAGAAGTGGGGACAGGTCAGCGTAAATATTTTTTCAATTGAATGCATGGAATACAAATAATCATGAGAACTAATTTTTAGGGGGCTCCACAAGGAGGAGGTGGGGGCGGAGGAGTAGACAATAGTATGCACCAGAAGGTGGACAGTCTGCTCAATGAAGTGCGAGCTGTGCGAGCCAACCAACTGCAACATGTATGTTTAGTTAGATGATGTTTTTATTGTTGTTTTTTTTGTTATTCGGCCTGATATATATTGGTTAGGGCATTTCTTAGTTTGATCGTGTTGAACTTGAGAAACCGATTAAAAGGAACATTTCTTCAGTTTATGAGTTTTACAGCTTTCCAAAACTTAGCAGTTCAGAGGTTTCGCTGTTCAGCGCGCGGAATAAATGAGCAGGCCCACATTTGATAACAAATATGAGCAAAAAGAGTAATGCACTTATGAGAGGCCTGCGTTTGACTTCCCTTTTGAGTCTGAATCGTGTTATGGCCTCTCATATGAGCTGCTGTGGTTCGCAGGACCAGTTGGAGTGCAAGCCAGTAGTTTTTTTTTATATTAGTTACTTGGTTGACGTAGGCAGGAGTTAATTCCGTACTTGACTGGGGCGATACGAGAGACATCTGTTCCCTTATCATCATCGCTTCTGCGCCCATGTTCGTAAATCTCTAAAATTATTATGAACTCGAAGAAGAATAGTGGTCATGACAATCTCAAAGCATTTTAAGTTTAGGCATCAATGTCCATAACTTAACCAGTGCTGAAAACTTTTATAAATCGCAATTATTTTCTCAGAGTGGCGGCGGTGCAGTTTCTTGTCCAAACATCACGTGTCTCTCATCGAGCTTGTTCCTCGCCGTGATACTAATCCAAGGACTTGTCATTGTGGTTATGATTTTCGTCAGGTTTGTTTTCTTTAACGACTAACACAAACGCCTCTTACTGTTTTCTTTTCTTTAGAGACTCGACAAGGCGAGTCTTCACTAAATTTTTATTTCAGAAGCAAACCCGACAAGGCGAAGTTCTACTAGGTTAGAAGTAGGGATATACGATGGCTCCTGTTCCGGTCATCTTGACGATTATGAAATCTGTTTTGATGCTTTCTGTACAACATTAGCCAACGAATTATGTCAGTACATCCAACGTTTGATGGTTTATGCTGTTGTTGTAATTATTTATTTTGTTAAAAGATATCAAACAGAAGTCTCTCTGCTGACGGAAAGTTGTGGTTAGGCTGTGGATGATTGCCTTCAAATGTGAAATTGAACAGTATATCAAAGGCCACTCTTTCTTCTTTAATCACGATAATTTTGGCATTTTTCGCTCTCATGTTTTCTTTCATTTTCGTTTTTTTTTTCGCCATTTTTGGGTTCTGTTGTTGATTAACTGGGTGCATGATTGTTGTGATTGTTATTGTAGTCGAGAATTTGATTTTCAAGTAAAGCTTAATTATCTAT